CACACACAGAGAAGTCAGATCCATCTGTAAGAGCATTCTAACATAAGACTGTGTTAGACTTATATGCGTAGTCACCTTTCCTCTTCTGGAAAAAGATTAAGTCAACACCATGAAAACCAGAATAAGAAAATAACACAACCAGATTTGAAGCATCCCATAGAAACTAAATAGCAATTCTTCAAGTCATAGCCTGCAAAAGCCACCTTTCTGCTATTCAGTTGAAAGAGGTGATTTGCTTTGTTTTTAAAACTTTAACCAATTCATATTCTTTACCCAACATTGGAGCTTCAAACCTGAAATACACAAGATGCATCTGATGAACAGTTTTCAGTTTAAGGTACAAATGACAAGCAATGTCATCTTAAAGTATAAGAAAAGCCTCCCAAGCACTATCAAAAGGCAGAAAAATTGAGAGTTTTGGAGGTTTTTTTAACTACAGATTGCTAAAGCAGCTTCTCTGGAACAGGAGTAGTCACCAGACTAGCCAAGCATACATGCTGGCTCTGTCTGGCCAGAGTAAGTTATTCTGGCCCAAGCCTCGATTTCTGCTGCCCTCAAAGAACACAAATCTACCCATCACCACTTGACTAGATGCAACCAGTTACACAAACATGAACATCCAGTCACATCATCAAATACATCTTTCCTTCCTTGTGTCAGACCTAGCTCTTCTCCCAACCACAAAAACATTGGGTTTCATTTGCAGGTTTACTAGAAAAATAATCCTTTTTGAATTAGGAATCAACTCATTGTGCAGCCCCTAGATGGGACACAGGTAGGAGAGCATCCCTAGCAGGGAGATAGGGGCAAGGCTGAAAGTAAGTCACTCTGTGTCACTCATTAGATGTTTTGTGAAACTGCATCCTTAGTCATGCAATGGAGAGACAGGGCAGCACACAGTGTTTGATCCTTCCTGAGGAGGACAGTTGTCTCATCCTACTTGTTTTATTGGACATCACTCACTTCAATCTTCTCCACAAAACTTTCCCCTCCCCATCAAATACATCCCTTAAAAGAAAATAAGCAGTTCTTAGCTAGAATAATTCTAAAAGTAAATGATGTCATGAAGTACATGTATTACAACAACGTGAGAGTAAAGATATAGATCACAGTCTACCCATTTCTGTGAGAACATATGAGAGAGCTACCAAGAACTTCTCTAAAAAGACTATCTACAGTCTTGCTTAGGGCACAGGCCCATTTCCCATTAGCAATTCCAAAGTGAGCTTGTTGGCCACAGCTGGGAAAACCAAAGAGGAATGAGAAGAACAGCCTATGCCAATGTATAGGTTACTTGTAACAGTCTCTCATGGACTGATTTCTAGGAAATGGTAGGATTCAATTGACCAAGCGGAATAAAAGCATCTTCACCACTGGCTGATCAGAAGCAGAGCAAAAACGTCTTTGCCAACAGGCTGGCCAACACAGAAAGGCAGGAGCAATCCAGGAAGTTTCTGGAGTGCACTGATGATAACTTCTTAACATGGGTGACTGAGGACCCAACGAGAGAACTTGCTGGACCTCATACTTACAAACAAGGAAGAACTGGTCAGAGATGTGAAGGTCAGGGGCACCCTTGGCTGCAGTGACTGTGAGTGGTGGAATTCAGGATCCTGTGAAGAAAGACCAAGGCAAAAAGCAGGATCACAGCCCCAGACTTCAGGAGAGTAGACTTTGGCCTGTTCAGAAGAATCCCATGTGATATGACCCTGGAGAGCAGAAGGGCCCAGGAGAGTTGGGGCGTTTTCAAGGATCACCTCCAACAAACTCAAGATTGGTCCACTCTGATGTGCAGGAAGTTGAACAAAGGTGACAGAACAAGACTTTCCCTCAGCAGAGGATAGGAAACACTGAAATGGGACATTTCCAAACTCTGGGCCCTAATGGGATGCACTCAAGGGTGTTGAGGGAGCTGGATGATGACGTTGCAAGGCCACTCTTGGTAATCTTTGAAAGATTGTGGTGATTGGGGATGAAGGACTAGAAGAGAGCAAATACCCCTTCTATCTTCAAGGAATGCAATAAAGATAATTCAGGGAACTACAGACTGGTTAGCCTCACCTTGATCCCTTCAAAGGTGATGGAGTAAATCCTCCTGGAAGCCCTTTTCCTAACAAATTATGTAGACTGGCTGAAGGTGACTGGGAACAGTTACCATGGATTTATGAATGGGAAACATGCTTAACCAGCCTCACAGCCTTGTACAGTGAGATGACTGTCTCAGTGGATCAGGGGAGCAGTGGATGCTGTTTACTGTGGCTTTACCAAAGCTTTTGACACTGTCTCTTATAACAGTTTCACTGACAAAGTAATGATAAGGGGACAGAGACATGGACTGAAACCTTGCTGAACTGCTGCACTCAAAGGGTTATGATTAGTGGCATAAAGTCCAGCTGGAGGCCACTCAGTATTGGTGTACCCCAGGGATTGATACTGGGGCAAGCATTGCTTAGCATCTTCATTACTGACCTAGATAATGGGACAGTGCACCCTCAGCAAGTCTGCAGAGGATACATAACTGGGAGGAGTACACCAGATGGGTGTACTGCCATTCAGAGGGACCATGGCAGGGTACAGAAATGGGCCAACAGGTACCTCAGCAAGTTCAACAGAGGGAAATACTAGTCCTGCACCTGGGGAGGACTAACACCAGACATCAGTACAGGTTGGGGGCCAAACAACTGAAAAGCAACTCTGAACAGAAGGACCTTGGGATTCTGGTGAACACCAAACTGGCCATGAGCCAGCAATGTGCATATCTCAACCTATGAGTCTCCTTACTTTTAGCCCTCCAATTCTCTCCCCCATTACCCTGGGCAGGGGAGGGTGAGCAAGCAGCTGTGCAGTGTTTGGCTGCTGGCCAGGTTAAAACCATGACAGCAGCACAGAAGGCCAACAGCCTCCTGGGCTGCATTAGGAAAAGTGTTGCCAGCAGGTCAAGGGAGGTGATTCTTCCTCTCTGCTCAGCTTCAGTGAGACTTATCTGGAGCACTGGGTTCAGTCCTGGGCTCCTCAGTATAAAACAGACGTGGATAATACTGGAGACAGTCCAGTGATGGACAAAAAAGTTAATCAAGGGACTGGAGCACCTGTTATACTAGGAGAGGCCAAGAGACCTGGGATTGGAGAAGAGAAGGCTCAGGAGGATCTTATCCATGTGTATAAACACCCAATGGGAGGAAGCAAAGAGAACAAAACCTGACCACTCACTGCTGTCCAGTGACAGGACAAGAGGCAACGGGCACAAACTGGAATACAAGAAATGTTTAAAACATAAAAAAGAAAACTTTCTTACAGTGAGGGAATTCAAACAGTGGCCCAGATAATATGTTGAGTCTCCATCCTTGGAGACATTTTAAACCCAACTTGACACGGCCTTGAATTTACACTGCTCTGTGCTGTGGATTGGACCAGAAGATCTTCAGAGGTCCCTTTCAAACTGAATTATTCTGTGATTAAATTCGGCAGAAAACAAGTAAAGACCTGTTAATTTGATTCTTGGATACAGAAAGACTGTTATATTAATAGATTCAATCTGTTTTAAGGCCCTACGGCATGCTTTCATATTTGGCTTATTTTATGTAGGTGGTCAAGAAAGTAAAATGAGCATAGGAAGGCAGGTTTGAAATATTTATGCTAATAACTGAATAAACATTAAGGAAAAGTGACTGATCTGGAGCTACTTCTGGAATGTGTTCGGTGCAGTTTGTGGGAGAAGTTGAACCTGAATCCACCCACCAAGTCTGAGCTGTGCTAGCTAGCTAACACTTACACAACTGTGTTGTATTTCTGTGAAATACAACCCAAACCCTTTTTAGAAGTCTCTGGATAACTTCTTGGTTGAGTACCAGAACAGAGTTTGTTCAACTGGACATGTATTTCCTTTATAGCTCAAGTTGAACAAAAAGATTAGGAATGACACATCAGGTAGAAAGAACTCACAGGAATACCCCATTTACAAAGAAGTCATATCCTTGCTTTACAGACTAACATACCTACTTAAATAAACAAAAACTACTGTATTAGTGTAAGTAAGAGCTGTATTTAAATTTCATTTTTAAAAAGCCTCATTTAAAGGTAATTGACTTGATTAGGAGCTAAAAAAACCTGGGCCTTTAGCCCAGAAAAGCCTTGCATTAACTTTTATTACTAAGCTAATGAAAATCACATCAAGTCGTCAGAAGACTAAAATTGACCTTCTAAGCCATGGTGCTAGTAATGAGATAATCCTTACGAGTTACCCAATTAGTTACTAATCAGTTTGTCATTCAACCATTTATATAGCCATAAAAAAAACCTCACAGGTATCTCTCAGCATATCTCTCTCTGCCATTTCCTTCTTTCTCTACTCACCGATGAAGCACGACCCTCTTGCCGCCCCCCAGCCAAGTTTCTCGCGATGCACCTAGATGACTGGGGTCAAGATGGGTGAGTACTGCAGGTAAACGTGTTATCTGCAGACACGTAAGTGAACGTCTAAAGCACAGTAATCTCAGGAATTAATGGCAATAAAATCTAACTCCAAATCTGATAACCAAGGCCGATTTTACAGATAGACTAGTTACTACAGAATAGCCTACCAAGGAGAAGTATCCCTTAGGCCACTTAATTCTAAATCACTATTTTATAATATTAAGGAATCTTATATTTGCTTTAACCTCCTGTATGTAACTGCCTACAGTAATTGCCCATAGCAATGATGCCTACCAAAAATTAATTAATTAATTAATTAAGTCTGGCAGTGGGAAGGAGAGATTTGATAGCTGCCTACAAAGGGAGACTGGCATTAACCTATGGTTCTAACAGTGAATACAAACCACTGAACTCTTACAGACCTCTAGCCTGATTACAAGCATTGGCGCAATGTGTGTTCAATGAAGATGCTTGCCAGAGAACCTGCACACAGCTTTAGGCAATTATACCCAACATCAGTGCTTGAATGGGGCAAGGTCATTCTGTTTCCATTTAAATATAAAAGCAAAAGCTTCATGGTCACATACCTCATTGCAACATTGCTGCCATCAATAACTATTGGCCTCAGGTTGTCACCATCCTCTGTCACATCATCCTGCAGTGGAGACTCTGACCTCTGAGACTCTATGGAAGACGCTTCACGCATTACACTAGTGTTAGAATTAGTTACAGTCTGATCAGTCTCAGTTTTATTCCCAAGTTTGACAAGTTCTCCCAAAATATCATTTATTAAAGCATCAGTACCAAGTTTATTTAGTACCAGTTGAACCTGCTCTTCAGAGTAACCCAACTTAAGTGCAAACTCCAGTTTGGTTTGATATTCTTTCACCACATCAGGGGGCCTTTTGACTTCCTTAGGTACTATCTGAGCCTCTTCTATCCTAAGGTCTTGCAAGATTTCATTTCTTTTTAGTATATGAGGCTCTAAGCAAGGAGATCGGCACAGCTGTCGGTGAGTCTTAGGCAAGAAATGTGATTCTGATGCAGAATTATTCGGTCTCTCTGAATCATTATCAGAATTTGTGCTTTCTTCAGAGTCACAGCTGGAGCTTCCAGAAGTCTCTTCAGATGCTTCCTTGTCTACATCTTCTTTCCTAGAATTAACCTTATCCATCGTTGGCTTCTCCGCCATTGACCAAGGTACAATTGCATTTATTTGTGTGCCAGTGCTCCCCACATAAAGGTGGCCTAAGTCATGCCCCAGATGATCCTTCAGGCCCATGAAGCTGCTGCATGTACTTGACTCCACTTTGCTGTTTTTCTTGTATTCCTGAATGTAAAGTGTTCCGTATTCCTAAAGAGAGAACAAAAACGTTGCAACTGGTTACACTTACTATTTGTTCTGTATTTTCTCAGAATTTATTCCCTCCCAGCAGAGAAATATTACTTAAAAAAAAAAAAATAAAACTTTTTTTTGGGAAAAACTTCTCCTAGGGAACATCCATAGCTAAGAGGATAAACAACTGATCATCTATTTTCTGAGTGCATCAAAAGCTTTTACTTAAACATTTCTAGAAATGAGTTTATGAAAGATTAAGAAATGAAATGCTGCAAGTTTACCTATTGTAACGCAGACAGAAGTCTTGTCATGATTTAAAGGAACCAAAACATTTATTTTAGCTTAAGACAGTATTGTAACAATAAAAAAATACAGCTATAAAATACAAGTACTACAAAAGCTTTTTAACTAAACACCTTGAACTCTCTGTTGAATAGAAACAAATTAGCACAGTACTATATTATCTGGCTTATTAGGCAAATACAAGACATCATAACACATAAAATGAATTGGTAACAGAAAACATGATTAAATAAAAAGTTATTGGCCCTAAAAGACAATTGAATACACTCAAACTATATCTGAATTCCCTTATAAAGTGGTAATTAAGTCAAGAAAGACTAATTGATCTCAACAGAGTGCTGCATTACTAACACATACAGCATTTAGAGACACTGACTGATCTAACGGCCAATAAAGCCAATGGAAGTCTTTGCACTGAACGCAACACATCATTCATCAAGGCAACAAGGCAACAAAATTAAAAACTGATTTCAACTCTTGGACTAGACCTGTGCAAGCCTTTCACTCAATCAAAACTAAGCATACAGACAGAAGTCATGTAGGAAGAATGGAAGAAGAAAAGTTGCTATTTTCTGGACTTCATACACTTGCCACATGAGTTTTTCTGGAGGAATTTTGCAAAAAATGGTAGTTACACAGAAGTTAGCTACCCATTTCATCACAAGGATTACTTCCACAATCCGTGTTTAAAGGCAGATTGCTAGCTCTTTACCTTATTTAGTTATTTTAAACAAGAATCTTTGCTTCAATAAAGAAAGCAAAAGATAAATTATTTCTCATAGATAAAAATGGACCATATGGACCAATTGTACTGCAAGGTTACCATGAAAAAGAAGAATTTACATTAAGGGAAGACTACAAAACAAAGAGTTCTTTCACACTTTCATCTTGCAAGGCAGAATATAAAATCAAGTTATAGAGGGAAATGACTTCACTTGAACTTGACAGATACATTACAGACACAAATTTCATCATGGAGGATATATTGGGAAAAGGCATTATGTCAAACATAATCTCTTGATCCATACCAATACAAATTACAGGTATGTCTCACAAACAGCAAAAATCTCTATAGTGTTACAGGTTAGCATTTAAGAATGACCCAGTGTTTTTAAAGTACGGTGTACTTTCTACCTCTTGGGATAAAGATCTGAGAGTGCACACAAGAGAAATTTATCCAGGTTTAAGACTAGAGAGAATCAAGCAAAAAATCTAAACTGTGGTTCAGTAAAGGCAGACCGTATAGGTGCCGAGTGCCAAGACATCACTGCTGTGGGGGAGCTTTTTGGTTATGAGGCACAAAAACATGCTTTACCTAAGCATTTCTAGTTAAAATAAATAAATAACTGAATCGATCATCAGCATTTTCATCTCCAACACCTTAATCCAGGCAAGGCTGATAGGAAAGAAAATACTCTCGAGTTTTATTTAGATCTGATCTTGTCAGAAGGCAGTAGAGCTGTAATATTCTCAAGCAGTGCATCAAGGAATATTACTTTCACTTCACTCGAAGCCTTAGGATTTCAAGCAACACCACGGATTAAACACAATGAGAATTTAGGAAACGAACCTTTTCACACAGTGATTTATTAACTAACGTAACGCACTCGACGGTGCAGTGCTAGTAACAAATCACAACAATATCCCAATAAAAGGATACAGTTAAAAAGCCCAACACCGTGGCCTTCACAGAACTGACACCCCAAACAACAAAAAAATAATAATAAAAAAATCTCAAACAAGAAACCCCTATTGGCAGTGAGGCTGCTTAGCAACCAGCCTTTAGTTGCTAGGATGCGCTCCTTTAACATACCATCATGAATACTAGCACAGCGAAAGAATAATTTGGTATGAACAAAAGCCCATGAAAGAGAGCGGGACTTAAGTGCGTCTGGTTTCCCCTCGGAGAACAATGCAGCTGCCAAACCGATCTGGAAGCCCCGACATCATTGTTCCACCAACCCCACAATCTGCTCTGACTTGAGGAAGTCTAGTTAATGGGCAACACTTTTAAGCTGGACTGAAAAGTTGAGCTGGCTCATGTACCACCGCCACAGAATACAGGGAGATAATGGGTCACTGCCTAAATCCGTGTACTGTGAAATGCCATTTTAGTATTGAACTAAAGGTAGAGGGAAGGGGTTTTTTGGAAGGGGGGAGGAGGAGGTTGCATATTAACAGCATGGAATAAACAAAGCTTGAAGTGCACAGATCAGAAAAAGGATTTTTTTTTTTTTTAGTGTTAGTTAAAATAATACTTAAGTCATTCTCCAGTCGGTTCTTCCTTGAAGTTTAAGTGCTTTACAGCAACTACAATCATAACACCCTCCAGTGGGATTCAAAGGAGTCACTAGCATATGAATGTGTCTGAAGATCAAGCATCATATGAAGCACACTTTAGATGATTTGCACATCAGCTGCATATGAAAAATGACCATAAACTGAGCTTTGTCCATTGTTGGGAATGTATACATAATCAGCCTCACATCTATCTGCTTTAAGTCTGCTGTCAATCTCCATCTTGCTGCAATATATAACTGCTTCTTTTCAACAGAACTCTATTGTTTTTCAGAAACTATTTAAAGAAGGTAATAAAAGCAGCAGATTTAAAATCTGCCACAGATAGTATATAGTCATCATACTACTGCTTTAAAAGGGTAGTTAGAATTACGTTTATACTGTAAATCCAAAGCTAAAGATTTCTGAAATAGTTTTGCATAAGCAGTACCCTATTCCTGGCATCTGGCCTAAACCCTGCATGCAAACTATTTATTTTCAGACAATTTCTTTACAGTGTCTGTGAACTTTGTACACTATATTTGTGGTCAGCAGCATCTCGTAGAAATGCTAGCCTTTGGAGCTCCCAACATGATATCCTTTGTGAGATTCACTGATTAGAACCATGAAAATCAGATGTCACTGTTCAACACTGCTGGAATTGATTATTTTATCTTGATTTGGTTAGTGAAGAGCAATGTGCCAGCTAGTCTATTTGAATGAATATGTATTCCAAATACACACCAGTGTACCTATATATAGGACAATGAAGCTCATGAAAACCAGAAAAGGTCACATTTACCCAAGGAGTAACATAAGAACTCCTTGCACTCTTTATTTACAAGGAACTCTCATTATGCACACATGCTTTTAAAGTGTGCTTACTCATGCAATGCAATAAAGCTAAGAAAAATAACTGATACAAATTCTGACTCAACTGGGAGACAAACAAACAACCAAAAATCAGCCAAAAATTATTGTCAAGAAAGCCTGCAGCTTTTGGTTATGCTCACCACAACTGAGTAACAGAATTTGTATTTATGAAAAAGTTAGTAAAACAGTAATTCTCAATTTAGACATAACAATATATGTGTTAAACTGAAGCCTGTTTAAAACTACAGTATCTCACACTAAGTTCACTGTTAAAGGCCTAAAATACTGTATTACTGAGTCAAAGACAACGATCAAGTATAACTACAATACTCCAGATGAGCACTGTGCTAGTACATTGTAGAAGTGTAATCTTTTCCTATTTCTTAGAAGTCACCACTATTTTCCACTAACCATTAAAAATAATCAGCTCATTAATTCACCTTCTCACAAAACACAATTTCACAAAGGGATGTAAGTAGATTATCTAATCTTTTAATGTGTATTCAGAATATTTTCCACTTACAATTGAGAATAAGAAAAGCAGTTTAATGCAAATTTAGTTCACAGAGGAAAATAACAAAGAGTAAAATAGTGTGTCGTGGCACAGTAAAACAGAAATGGCATATTCTCAAAAGACAGTCATAAGTTTCTGAATATATATTCTACAGTAAAGTAGTTCTGCACGTTTTCACACAGGCAGACGTTTTCCAAGTCTTCTAAACAGAATGTAAAATATTGAAATCACAGTTTGTTGAAACACTGTCATTGCTTGTCACAAACAGAGTTGATCAGAAAAGAAAAAAAATGAATGTATCAGTTATCTAAATGATAAAGATACTGCAACAATGCAAATAAAATAATGAATATGTAATAAATATCTACTGCTGTAGTTTCTATGTATTTAATTACCATTGTATTTCAGCGAGTGCTGTTGTCTGCATCATTCTATCCAACAAAGGAAGGATGTCCCATTGAACAGATTGGTTAATGCTCTGGGGCAACAGATGTCTACTGGAACTGCAGGAGACCAGCAACTGGTGGCCTGCCCATCTTCTGAAAACTTTCAATAGACTCATGCATATGTTCACACAATAGGGCATGTGGTAGAAATGCAAACCTCTTTTTAACCCTTTTATATGCTCTCTTGCCCTCCCAACTGATATATGAAGGTCTTTGTTTTGCTTTTTTCTTTACTGGATCCTTAGAACATAGGCTCATGGAGTATACAGTGCTTGTTCTTCAGCCTACCATCTGAACTCAAAATATAAATCAAAACAGATTAGAAACTTTACAAAAATAGCCAGACTGGATCTGACACACTTAGGAATAGCTTTCAAAGCACAAAACCTTTGACTGGAACACGTTCTCACCTGAGAGCAACCTAATGCTCTATCTCACACTACAGTATCTTCAGATATCCCATGATGGAGCTCTTCCTATTTTCACAAACACAGGAAATTTCATCCATTGTATGGTATAATGGAAAAGCCACTTCATTTTTTTTTTCCCTTAAAAGCTTTTTCTACCAGTGTCCAATCCACTACAACCAGTCACAAATTAAATAAAATTGTTTGTTTGTTTGTTTTAAAAGGTAAATACCTATAAAGTTGAAACCTTCCCTTCCCCCCAGGGAGCTAGAAGAGAACTCGTTCTGTTCATGGCTACTGCCTACCATTTTCAAATTCCTGGAAACACACCATTGCCCATGATTTTGAAAGTTCCTTAATAGAATGCACGGGGCGAGATCATCGCTCTTTAAAGTACTTAGTCTTCAGACATAACTGTTTTTCTTCCTCTCTTTTTCCAAGAGACACCCAAAGTGTGCAAATCTCAGCGGAGCCACACGCTAGCTACGTTGTCCGAATGCAAGCTGACACGCTGAAGCACCAGAAAGGTGCAACGTCCCATTTCTGCAGAGAGAAGCCCATATACTTACGTTCGCTGGAAAACACAGAGACATTGGTTTCTTGTAGCTGTTCCAGAAGCAACTCCTTAACACGATTTCAGCTGCAGACTTCAGGCAAGCAAGCAGAACAATGAATGGACGAACAGATGGACCCGCGATGTCTTTGCTTAACCTATTACTGAGCGGACGCAGAGCCAATCACGACCCACAGAGCTCACAATTAGTTGGCCGGGCAGATGCAAGGCAACCTCCCCACCCTGCATCAGGTTCGAGGTTTCTAAGATAAGCAAGTTGATGTCATTCTCAGGGTCTGCCCCGGGCAGCATGTGTATTAACGAGGGGTGTGCAGCAACAATAGGCCATACAAAAGAGACTAGCAGGCAGCTGCTGTATGAGAGCCAGAGTCATTAGGGAGCAGGCTGCCAACAAGAAACACCTGGCTTGGGCAGACTTCAGCTTCTCCTCATTGTTTCTAATTCATGAAACAAAGAAAGGAATTATTTTTAAGTAGTAAAAGTTGTGAGTTCTTATTAAAATATAACAGTCTTAAGGGATATAATCCCTTCTATCACGGAAACAATAAGTTCTTTGTAAGGAAAAAATATTAAAGAGAAATAAATCCATCAGTAGCTATTTGTATTCCCCTGCTCTCGTTAGCAAAATTAATCATAGTGGTACAAAGTGCAAGGAGGTATGAAAGGAGCCCACACTAAACATTGAAATGTATTCAGAAACCGCTTTCTGAATTTCCTGACACTTTTGTACATCACTCAATAAATGTAATAAACTTGCATTTACACACGACTAACAGAGTACTTGTAGGTAATTTCAATGGAAGGTGAAACCGTTTAAACTAAAACCACACAATATTAATACGTGAAATAATGGATATTTTTAAGCAGCGGCATTGAAACACTAGGGCACTTGACAGAAAGGAACTATGAACCACTCTTTTGTTCTGGAGTCATTCATATTTGTTTGAAACAGAACTTCTTTCCCTTTTATTTCACAGATCTGTTTGAGATGCCAAGATCTTCCTGTCTCTTTGCAATGATGAAATATTTGAACAGAAGTCAGGAGCTAGACCGCAGCCAGCTTTTTATTGTTTTTATTTTTATTGAAGGAAGCCACATGGAAACACAAACTCCAGTCCACCTCTTTCTCCACTGCCCAACAGTTTCAATACCACCAAGCCCTGCAGCACACATATTTAGTGACAGAACAGTAGCAAGGTTTGATGCTCAATTAAAAAAGTGGAGCAATGTGGACTTTCAAATAAAAAGTTGACACTGCTGGTAACTTCAGTGAAGACAGCTCAGCACAGAGAATTAAGAGATTCTATATCTGCAATAATGTTCATCTGAATGACTACTAGAAAGTGTATTCACTGAACTTCGGCATTACTACATGACTAAAAGCAATACTGAGAACCTCCTCCTCTGCTCGGGAGGACAAGTGATCTGCTGGATACACCTACTGTGATTTAAAAGCAAAAAAAGAATGTGAATAGGTTTGTCAGAACTGTTTGGAGTAATTTCCCAAGCTTTACGTGGATATTAAAGTGATTCAACATAGTAAATTAAATCACATACCATCATACTATTACATGGATGCATTTATCATGTGCCCAGATATTAAGCTGCAAAGCAGAAAACTCAACTATAGTTTCTCTGCACCATCCATTAAACACTCCTAAGAACAACTACTAACATCACTATTTTGGAGCATTTAAGTCGGAGGCAGGAGGAGACTCCTCACTAATTTCTGCCACTGTGAACACAAAGAGTGAGAGAAAGCTACCCACAAGCACAGTGGGACACCTGATCTCCAGCACTGGATTAAGCCTCTTTGCAAACAGCGAATAAAAGCAGTGATCTGAAAAAGCTAATCAGTCCCTGCTGTGGTATTTAGACTACCTCGGTTGCTGGTATTGGATAATGTTAAGCATATTAAAACTTCTGTAGGCAAAATAAGAAGCTAGTCCAGTTCACCTATGTCCAAGACCTGCCCTTAAATGCAAGAGGGATCACTTGGCTAGTCATTAGTTGAGTAGAGCCAGGCACTTCTCTGGCAACACCAGAAACGCTTGTTTTGGCAGAGGACAAGTCTGATACCCTTTATGTACATCTGTAACATATTCCATAGCCTGGGAGCGGTGTACTTAGGGCTCTACAAGCAAAACTAGGGCAAGCGTACAATCTGGTTTTAAAATCTGCCTTAAAAGCAAGGTTGTAAGAAGTTTACTTGTGAAGATATGCCCCCTCAATGTCTTCTACAATAACAATAAGGATACACTGCTCCCATCCCCCCTAAACAGCTCTCCATACTCCAAGGGCATGTCTTCAGGATACCAGGTCTACACTTTAGTTGCAGATTAATGTTCATGCCAACGCCACACTGTAGCACTATGACCAAAGTCAGAAGAGATACAATCTGAAGACTTATGTTATATTGTTTAATTTACACAAAATATTCTATCAAACTGTAGTTGCATGAATTAAGATGACATTTTATTGTGCTCAATGTCAGTTACACAAACCAGCTGCCTGTTCTGGAAGCATCTTCTCAGCTCTTCCCTAAAAGAAGTTGGGTTGTCCAAGGTTTATAAGGTGTCAGATCATCCATCCTATTAAATCATGCTTGTGATGACAATCTGGTCTAGTTGAAGATGTCCCTGCTCATTGCAGGGGGCGCTGGACCTTTAAAGGTCCCTTCCAACCAAAACTATTCTACAATTCTATGATTCTATGACAGAAAAGCATTGGTATTAAGGTTTAACCAGTACATGAGATTTTTTACTGAGAATGGTGAGGTCAATAAAGAAACCTGAGTAAGAAACACTGTGGCTCTCCTGTCACATCTGTGATGGGCTATAACAGCATCACTGGAAGGTACACAGTGCGAATGAACAGAAAGGTCTCTACTTCTTGTGCTAAAATCTCTAAATCCAGTAACCTGACTAGTTCAACCATCTCCTGTTACTCATCTAAAATACAAAGGTTCAGTAAGTCAAATCTAGTCACCAAAATACTGCAAAAGTAACATCACTTCAAATTTCTGGTCTTGCAAGCTATAAACACCTTCTTTTGTGGCTCCTAGAGATTGGACTTTGTGTGCAGTGCTCATCACGACAGCACACAGCAGGGTGATGGGACGCTGCAGAGGGACAGGGACCAGGGTGAACCTCTCAGCTGGGCAAGGGGTGGGAAGGAAAGCGTCTCCTCCCCACTGCTGTCCAGTTTGGTATGAAAAGCATGCATGGGAGGGTCAGAAAGACCAAGGGAGGGAGAGCTGGAGCAGCTGGGAAATTCAGACAGCATAGGCTGAAGACAGTAGTGAAGCATTACTATAAGGGAGGAAAAAAACACCCTAAAAAACCTCTGCTAGTTCCAGCCAACTCTTGTTTCAAACATGTTGAAAACAAAGACTTATTTAAAAAGAAATTATTTTATGCAAGCATACAAAATGGTAATTCTATAACTCAAGTGCAGCAACTAGAAAGATGATATCCCATTAAATTATTTCATTATCTTTTTTTTGTAGAACTTTATGCTAAACCTCTAGTAGTAAATGATGCATTTGCAAGAATACACTGCACAAATTAAATCAATCACATACCACTGCATTTCTGAAATAGGGATGAAGTTTGTATGCTACAGGCAAAACTCACTGCTGTGCCATTGCAAAATATCCTACTTATACTGTTGGGCTTGGAAGCTGCAAGGGAGATGCTTATCTTTAAAATTATGAGGTGGCAATATAAAAGAAATTCTTCTTTTCCAGTTATTATGTTAAGAGATGCAAACCATCTTAAGTATGACACTTTGAAAGAAGTTTACTTAGTTTTGAGGAATGGTAAGTGGTGCTCTAGACTGTATATACACACAGTCATAAAAACAAACAAAAAAACACCACCACTCTACAGTCGTGCAAAGGAGAGATTAAATGACCAGTAAAAAGTGCCTACAACTCAGAAAAACAACTGATACTATGATAAAGATGAGTAATGCTTTGCCTACACAATAGCCTTAAAAAAAATAATTTAAAAAAGATCAACTGCATTTTCAAATGCAGTGTAATTTCTCTGTAGAAAAACACACACTTTCAAACGTACTAAAGCAAAGCAGCAAAGAGTTCTTTCAGTTTCTGAAAGGAGACACAGCTGCCTGTAGTTATCCTTAAAATTAAAAAAGCAGAGATGATGTACTTTCCAGTAGGCCACCACCTTAAAAGGTTAGAAGATCCACAGTTTCTAGTATAATCCCATTAGATCATCACTACTGGCTGCATGCAAGACTTCAGCAAACCATGGCAACATTTATCATTGCATCCTCTAATGTTTTGAAGAGGAAAACCCTAAGTTTTATTATAAGTAGTGATTAGGTTTTTTGCTGACCATGAGTATAAACAGATCCAGTCTTTTCTTCTCTGTGTGTAGACAAAGGCCGTGACCACGAGCTGCTCGCCATGAGATGACACAGTGCCCATCTGCAGCTGCACCTAATGGCACAGTTTGCTGGTGGAAGGACCCCAACAGGCTTGAGCCGTACCAGCCAGCTGCACAGAAAGCACGGAGCAGCATTCTGCATCAGCAAAACCACTGGCATCACCCGTCAGCACCACACTGAGAAGCAGCTCCTGAAATGAGACGTTTTCTGAAGCAAAGACTTTTACATTGAAAGTGAATAGTTTTGATCATGTGACAAAATAAAAACCCACTATGTTTACCTAAGAGGATAATGAAAAAGTAGTTGCCTCAGCACCATAACTTTGGATATCCATTGTAGGCATGGATCCCTAAGCAGTCCTCCTTCTGCAGTATCACGGAATCACTGAGGTTGAAGAGACCTCTAGAGACCATCTGGTCCAACCTCCCTGTTCAAGCAGGGCCACCTAGAACCAGATGCCCAGGACCTTGTCCAGATGGCTTTTGAGTATCTCCAAGGATGGAGACTCCCCAACCTTCCTGGGCAACCTGTACCAGTGCTTGGTCATCCTCACCATAAAAAAAGTGTTTCCTGATGTTCAGAGGGAAACCCCCCGTGTTTCAGAGTCTGTGCCCACTGCCTCTGGACCTGTCCCTGGGCACCACTGGCACCACTGAGAAG